CCCCAAAACCCCAAAACCCCAAAACCCCAAAACCCCAGAAAGCATTCTATTTATTGATAGGAAAATAATATTTAATCGAAATAAAATGGAAGAGACATTACAGGACTTGATTGTCAGTATCCCTCCTCCTTATGTGACGGCTAAGTGCTGGGGCGTCCTTGATGGAGACGATGGTTCCCTCCTATTCGGCAGAAATGAGCATGTCCCTAGAGAGATGGCCAGCATTACAAAAATCATGACCTCTTATTTAGTGTATAGAATTATGAAGAGGTTTAAAATAAATCCTAAGAAGGAAATGATCACTGTATCTAAATATGCAAGTGGGATCACTGGTACTACAGCCAAACTGAAGGAAGGTGATATACTCAGTGTTTACGACATGCTTCATGGCTTATTACTACCTAGTGGAAATGATGCAGCCACTGCACTAGCAGAGCACTTTGCAGTTATAATTAAAGAAGACAGGGAAAAACAGGCTATCAGCTCCAAAAATCCTCGACTGGCAAAGCAGAATTCAAAGGGAGAGTGGGAATTCAATAAGATGATATACGGGCACTCAGGAATTGATAACAAGAAGGCAGTTAAATCGAGAAATCTTGTCAAACTATTCGTAGAGGAAATGAATAAAACTGCAGTCTTACTTGAAATGCATAATACTTCATATTCTAATCCTCATGGAATGTGAGTCATTGGGAACAGCTCTACAATCTCTGATATAGGAATATAATATCCTCACAAGCAATGAAGATTAGCCTCATCAGACATATTGTAAAATAAGACGAAATTTGTATGTGAAGGAAAGAACAGCAAAGGGCTGACCAGAAACCATAAGTGGTCAAACACCAACAAAATGATTAATAAAGATCCACATTATAATGGGCTTAAGACTGGAACGACCCGCTCTGCAGGGGCATGCTTGGTAAGACCTTTAGAATTCTTGATTTCAAAGCTGTTACTTTTCATCTTTGGTGCAATGAATTTCATCCAAGCTTGAAATTTGTGCTTCTCACTTTGAATTTGAGCTGGAATGGCCAAAGATTTTCTCAGAATTAAGAACAGTTTCAGATATTGTAGTGATAAGTTAGAGTAAAAATTACCAGTCATTTTAAAAACAGAATTTGGTTGGTACAATCTCTCATTTTGATATTTCATTGAACTACTTTTGGTTGTTAATATTTTCATAGGTTGCTAATTACGAGACAGATTGATTGAACCTCATTATTATCACTCTCAACAGTTCTAATGATTCCAGAAGATGGCAAGACACAGCTAAGCTCACCGAGTGGGCAATAGATAGACTTAACTCAGTAGAAGAGTATCTCGAGTCTGTTAAGATGAACGAATAAAGAGCTGGATAGATCTCAAATTCTATGTATAACAACTTCTTTTTATATTTTGCTTTCTTCAAAATTTATTTCTTAGTTTACTCCCCATTCCTAAAAGTAAAATTGATTCCTATTCCTACTACAATATATCTTTGCACTAGCTCAGCATCAGAAGAGAAACCTTAATGTCAACTTATTTTCAACTACGTTACATATTTTTGGGGTTTTGGGGTTTTGGGGTTTTGGGGTTTTGGGGTTTTGGGGTTTTGGGG